ATAGATAAGAAAAATAAATTCGAAGTCTAACACAAATGGATTACCTTAATAACACTCATATATCCTTGCATCGCCAGGTCATCGTGCCATATTGGGGGCAGATACCGCCTTGATCGCTCATCCAAACGCGCTAGTCTACATTTGTACCAAGTTGAAGCCACTCGGAGGAGCCTCTTGTGGGACTAAATACAAAATTATTAGCCATAATTTTTGTTCTGCCAACCGCATGTATAAAATAAAGAACGAGGATATGCTTGAAAAAATGCTTTCAAAGATGCGCGACACTCTCTTTTGCTGTGCAAGAGTGCTCATTGCTCTAGCTGTTGGCTCTCCACTCAAGATAATGGTTTACGGACTACTTGCACTTTCGTCCATGGTCCTGCCACGAATGGCGGAGAGCACAGACGATCAGAGAATGGCGCCTGGCTCGGCTCCAAATCCCAAGGAGGGAGGTGAGAGCCTTAGGACTAAGCCTTGTAAGGGGGAGGGAATCCGAGGTGGGTGAGCCAGTTGCATTGTGGCAAACGTTCGAATGTGCGAGATGGCAGTGGTGATCAGCCGCTGATAAGATGAGCGCAGACGAAGCGTCAAGTGAGGCAGTCTAAAGGCAGCAGTCAATGTATCGTCGATTCAAGGAACCGCCTGAGTTTCACCAATATGTGCAATCTGTGCCCTGCCTATGCAAAATAATGAGTTTTTAAACGATTTAGGCCACATGAGTTTGAAGTCGGAATGAATTTAGAATTCAATTGCAACAGCGGAAGATTCCAGCCCTTCTCGGCCGCCTTCCGATGTATATCAGGCTTGCTGCATGCGGCCCCGAGTAGCCATTGTATTTCGTAACTGCGTCGAGGTGGCGATGGAAACTGCCCCTCAGGGCTAAGTCTGGACTAAGAAGCACAGTAGCTGGCCCCGCTCAACTACACTAGCACTCAGATGTCAGTGAGATGGTTGATAAATCTCGCATCACAAGCTGGGAAACAGCATGCTCATCTGTCTGGTGTCTGACCGCACGTTTCACAGAAAAAGAGATGTTTCGTAAGACGGACGGAGTCTAATCGGCTCAAGAATGTATTGGGCGCCGTAGCTATCCTTTACACGATTATATGGCACCTTCTTCAGCACATGAGACTTGTTCCAATTTTCTTTATATATGAATAACTTTCTACAGGTAGTCTTCGTTGACTTCAGAAGTAAGAGAAGCTGTTCTCGAAGTGTAGGGGAGAAGGAGAGGAACGCTAACTTCATCCACTCAATCAGTTGGATTGCGTGTATAAATTGCCTTCAGCCGTTTTGTTAACCGCAGCGAATACGGGTTCACCATGTTTCCCGACAAACGTGGATGATTAGATTCTTTTTTCGACGTGGTACATCGTAGCACCACACTCAGAATTGAATCTGCGCCCAAGGCGAACGGACGCAGGCAGAGCGCGGGAGTTCAAACGCTTCTGGATCAGTTTTAGGTCAGTTGCTTTTTCAGGTTTTTTTTTCAAAATGTCTATTCTCTGAAGTATTTCGTACCAAATTAGCGTCTTAGTATTTAAAGTGCAGGGTAATAGTGCTGGTACAAAAACGATTCCAGTTGTCAAGGTGGAGTTCCTTGTTTTGAGGTGTTTTTTTTTGTTAGTTTCATAGGTAATGCTAGAATACCGTGTTTTCTCGTAATTTACCTCGGAACGGTCTGTAAGATGGGCAGTTGGGAATAAAATGAATTATCTCAGCTTGACAGCAAATGTGCAGCTCAATCATTGCAAATGTTGAACAGACCCCCCCCCCCTTTAGAGATGTCTAACTTCACATTTCTGTTCATCTGAAACTCGAGCTCACTTCAGCTCGTGGCACTTGATGAATTTATCCGTTAAGCCGTATTCATAATTAGCGACTTGAAAGATAGCGGGCGAGTACTAGATATTGGTAGTGTAGGATGTTCAAGATTCAGATTCGTATCAGTTGGAACCGCTGTAGAGTAGTAGATTAGGCTTCTTCAAGCGAATCGATCAATACATATCCAATTTTATCAGAGCACTCTCGTGATCTTCTGCTTTAGATTTCAGTCAATCCTTATCAATAACTTCGTATAGCATACATTATACGAAGTTATACGAAGGCTACAGCTATATCTTTCCATACTCATATCTCCCTGTCCTGACTCCTTACTATGCGTCAACCCAGACACTACCGGTGAAGGCACTCCACCGAACCGCGACATCAGCCCCGGAATAATCCGATGTAGAGCCGCCCGCGTTCCATTACGTCCGACTCCAGAAGATGGGATACTGTCGGCACTCGCTATCGGGATAGGACCATGGTTTCGTGTAAGATTCGGAGTACGTTCGGATGCGATGCGCTGGAGAGTATAAGAGATTAGAAATCGTCCCGAGCGCGTGAGTTCAATAAGCCGATTTCTAGAGATCGAGGACGCTGCGAGCAGCTATCCTTACGCCTCCCGCGCTCTTATCATGCTTGAGCGATCCCGCTATTCTCCCCCACCCTTATTAGTGCAACGTAAAGCCGTGGGGCGAAGTGGCCGCAAGCCCGCGGACGCGGTATGGTACGCCCCAGCATTCCGCCCCCTCCCCTCTCGCCGACATATGTGAATATGTCCGACCAAAGTAGTCGTTGGGGATGAAGAATCGGGGCGTCCAGGGCTTTGCGGCATCCGGGCCCCAATAGTTTCCAAGTGAAATTGCGTACTTACTCGTCCAATCTCCCGGATCGCCAACGTCCCGGCCCAGTATGCGTCACAATGCGCTATATACCCAAGACGTACCCTCTCCTGTGTCGCTCATCACCATATCCTTGAAGTCGCAAACTGTGAATGGCACTTTAGTCGTTGCCAACATAAAGGCGATCTTGCCCAAAATGAGATTCCCTATAACTATATAACACGCATATTCTTCACATTATACGAAGTTATACGATCATAAAACCACACTTTGAAACTCTAGATTCAAGCAGAGATAGGATATTTGAATGAATGCTTCTAGTAATTTGAATGTTCTCCGCATTGACCGTCCAGATACTAGAGTTTTTGCAATTTCATAACAAAGTGCGTGAGAAACCGCAGGGGCGTCGCGATGAACCATTCGGGACGAAAAGCCGTGTTGATTTCTGTCGATCGATCGATGATTACATCATTACTTTTTCTGATTATTCTTCGTGCCAATTTCCTTATCATACGAGCGTTATCTAGTCAGCATGTCCATTGCAAATGACACGGCAACTTTATTTTGCAACTTACAGCTGTTCTCCAGCGATCCTATGAAGCTCATAAATTGGGAGTTGAGCAGATTGGTCCCAAAGCAGTGAGTGTGATTTCGAGAACAGCGCGTTGACCTACTATAACGTGCGGCAAATCCTTTAGGCCCTGTTCAGAGATGTCCGCTTGCGCGAAAAAACGCATAGGCGAAACAATGTGAAATATGTATCGACTGAACGAAGACGCACAGGCGAATCGTGAAGTGGGAGGATCGACGAAAATGAGTATCATACGCATCGACTTACGAACGCTTCGCTCACGCGATTTTCCGCCCGTGCGTTTCTCACAGTCGATACATATCAAACTCTTGACTGAAATTCGCCTGCTCCGGACGTTTCGCTTACGCGTTTCACAATTTCTCAGTCGATGCGTATCTAAATCTTGGCGGAGATTTTCGCCTGTGCGTTTTTTCGCGCCGGCGGACATCTCTGAACAGGGCCTTAGCATTCCAATCTTGACATCTAAAACGGCGGATGAATTTCAAGACCTTGCACGAGGTTCCAGTTCTCTCTACCTCCTATTGTATGTACTTACGATTCAATTTGAGGATAATAATGTAACTTCATTCGAACTTATAGTGGTATATTACGAAATTGTATCCTATTTTGCAACGGTCTTGGCACGATGGCATGAGCATTGTCATGTTTGAACATGCTGCCCCTATGTATACAGAATATC